CAAAAAATAGGAAGCATTATATACGGAACGCACCATGTACTTTACTGAGGGTTTTCATGTTCTTTCCAGTACCTGAAGGCAGTTATCAGTACACTACCTTTAAATATCATTTCAATTAACATATTTTCACGTCATTCATGTTAAAATATTACTGTGTTTTATTATCCGTCTACACAACATTTGCTGATGATTTATCAAGTACACCTAACAGATTTCTTAGAATCGCGACATGTTTCGGCCAGATATATATCGTCATCAGATAAATATTTGCGTATAAATATAGATGAAAACGCTGTAACCACATAAATCAAATTCCAATGAGTTATTACAATGCTGTGACTATAGACACTATACTTGTATGCGTAACTGTGCCTACTTTCTAACAGATTAAAGGGCCGTGGGGTGGTAATTACAGACGTGACGAGGATTTTGGGTTGCAACAATATTTTTGTATTTTAACTGATCCTTGGTGACGTTCGTTTGTGAAACACTTCTGTTCATCACAATTCAAGCGTTAGTTGTACACGTTTTCTTGCATTGACAGTGTTCTGAAGAAGCAGCTGATTTGCTGTGGATGTTTTCCTTGCGGTATTCGTTGTATATCATTTGTAAGTCGTACTGTTGTAATTGTTTAATTATGGTGTATTATGTTTGGTGCATAAAATGATGTTGCACGACAGCGGTCAATTGCAGTATCTGTAATTAAGACATTCTAATTACTGACCGCTAGTGTGTTTGGCTATATTTTACGATCTATATCTTTTGCGTTTCTTATTTAAAGGCGCTGCCAATATCGGAACTGTATAGCGTCGATAGCAGTAAAATGATTAATGAATATGGAGCGGAGTGAGAATTTGCAGGGAAAACCGAAGTACTCGGACAAGACCTACGCAATGCCTCTTTGTCTACATGATCTGAATTAAGGGCGAACCCGGTCCTTCGGTGACTAACCGACTGAGCTGTCGCAGACATAATTTTTAGATTTTCTTTTTAATTTTCTTGGGGTGGAGTGAGACTGAGTCCACTTGGTACGTCGGCCACTAACTGGCCTATTGTACCATCACCGGATGATAGATGATGAGTGTGGAGTAGTCGGTGGAATGAGAATTGGCAGGGGAAACGGAATTACTTTAAGAAAACCTGCCCCAGTGCCACTTGTCCACAACTAAACCAACATCACCTGACCGGGACTCGAACCCGGACCGCCGCGGTGGGAAGCCGGCGACTAACCACCTGAGCTATGTTACAGCCATATTGTTTAGTTATGTGTGCTTATATATTTAAGTATACCTAGAGTGTATTAATGTATGGTAAGTGGAATATGTAGTACAGTGCGTCCACCGGGACTATCCGCAATTAAGTATCCGCAATTAATGGCTTGTGATGATGCGAATAAGACGTAATAGTTGATGACGATGGTATATTAATACAAATCTTGAGTTTCTGGACATCGCGCATTTCTCTTTAGAAACGTTTCGGAGCCTGGACTCTGCCTCCGTCCTCAGATTGAAGCTCAATCGATAGATGCATGGGAAGTAGATGCTAGGAGTTTATTTTAATGATTTGAATGCTTGTCTTAACTTTTGCATGTGGTTTCTGCTGTGCTTGGTTTACCTATCCTGTGTTGTCGATGGTGTGAAATCCTGGACTGACAGAGGACTTGTATATGGTGCACCAGGAAGAATTTTCAATAACATGCTCTATATGCGATTTGACGAAGTAAGTAAAAAAAGTAAGAGTAAAACTATCCCTGTAACAGGCCGTGAAGGCCCATAAGGTTGTGAGACGTTAAGGGCCCCACATTACCTAGACAATCGGCTCAAAGATGAGGGTAAGGTTGTCAGCCTTACGCGCCGGCCGCGCTTCGCTCCCCAGGAAAATCATTTAATTAATTCCTGGTACTCATTTTTGTTAGAGGCCGAGTAAACCCCAGGGCCTAGTGCGGCCTGAAGGATTAGGTCAATTAAAAAAAATCCAATGACCTCATCGGGGCTTGTAGCATAGTACCTTAACCACTACGCTACCGCGTACCCCCTGCGATTTGACAAAGGCGAAGCGAAACCTATTCATAAGAGGCAAGCCCATAGTCTCGTCGGAGAGGATGCCACATAATTATGGTTGCAAGGATTCAGTTAAAAAAAAACTCTGGTCGTGATCCTCAAGGGGCTTGGCGCCAAGACAAACCGATAGGCGGTAGACCGCCAGTCGTAAAGTAACTTTGACTTTGACTAGCTCTATCGACTGGGCCCAACTGAGTAGGCTTTTATATGTGGACGGAGACAAATTCCATTCTCCGAAATACTGTTTTTAAACAAGAAGTGCAATAATTATAGTGATGATGTGGTTTGTTAAAGTTGTAAGATTACGTTGCTGGGTTACGTTGGGAGCTGTGTCTATCAGGCAGCGCTGATTCTGACCGCTGTGAGAAGGTGTTTCTGGGTGGATATTGCTTGTGTCATGCTATCTGGACGGTTTGTTTGTAGGATTATATTAAATATGGGGTTATTTTTATTCGAAAAATTGTCGTTCATTTTAATTTTTTTTTAGGTCTGCATATCTGAACTCGTCCTAGTGCGTTTAACAAGCCACAATATTTCTTGTGTATGGAGTACTTCTAATAAAATGTTTAGTATTTCCGTAAACACGACAATTCTTTCAGAGGTATACAAAAGAATGTTTACATTAATGTCAAATATTATTAAAGGCACGACATGTTTCGACCCTTATTGGGTCATCATCAGGTGTCGGTTAGTGTTAAGGTGCAGAAATTATGCCAAATATGAGTTCATATTTTGTGTTGTCTATCTACTATACAATATCACTGAATGCATAATGATTCATCCAGTCCGTAAAATTGCTTTCCAAGTAGTACATAACCCTGTGTGTCTTGTTACAAGTGTCATATTGTATATAGACAACCCACAATATGGATTCTTTTTTTTTCCATTGGCACTACAGCCCCAGTGGGCCTAAGCCTACCTCCATGAACTTCTCTGTTCACTTCGGTTTTTATAGATCTTACACATACGGTAGGGTTCCTTGGGCGGGTGATCAGCTCGTCGTAAGGACTCTACCTGCACACAAACACAGAAAAACGCACACAAACATCCATGCCCTGAGTGGGATTCGAACCCACGATCCCGGCTTCCGAGCGAGCGAAGACAGTGCATGACTTAGACCGCCCGGCTACCGTGACCGGCATATGGATTCACATTGGATATAATTTCAGCACCTTAACACTAACCGACACTTGGTGATGACCCAATAAGGGTCGAAACATTCGTGCCTTTAATATTTATGACATTAATGTAAACATTCTTTTGTATACCTCTTAAAGAATTGTTGTGCTTACGGAAATAATAATCATTTTGTGTATACAACATAACAGGATTCAACACCTGAGCTGGCGGCGCCACAGCTCAAGCGGTTAGTCGCTGGCTTCCCACCGCGGCGGCACGGTTTCGATCCCGGGTCTGGTCAAGTGGGATTTGTGGTGAACAAAGTGGCGCTGGGGTAGGTTTTCTCTGATTAATTCGGTTTCCCCTGCCAATCTTCATTCCACCAACTGCTCCACAATCACCCTCACCTATCATCTGGGGCTGGTACAATAGGCCAGAAGTGGCCGCAGTACAAGGGACTTAGTCCAACCCCACTAGCAATAAAAAAACACAGGCGCTACGGCACGACCTAGGTGTTACATACACATAATTAAGTCGTGTTAATAACAAAGAAATGTAAAGAACGCCAAGGTCCATGAACAATAGTTTGATGTTTTGCATTAACATTATTATCCCTGAGACTAACTGAGAAGAATTCTGCCATTACGGCTGGGTCTTTTACTTATTCGTTTTTGTTCATCGACGCCGTCCATAGCTCAGGAGATATCATGTCCAATGATAATGGACAACGAGCTGAAACGGATGTTAAAGAGGTCGTTGCAGCCTAGCCTGAAGCAGTGTTACAGAATTTACTATGAATGACTGAGAGAAACCACGACAAGTCTCAGGATAAGGCCACGGTAAAAATATCCATGTAACAGCCAGTGGAGGCCCATAATGTCGTGAAATGTCGAGGCTCCCACATTTTCTAGACAATCGGCTCACAGATGGCGATGAAGTTTTCATCCTTATGCACCGGCCGCACTTTACCCCACGGAAGATTCCTGGTACTCATATCTGTTAGCGGCTGAGAGGACCTCAGGGCTATAGTGCGGCTGGAAGGATTAGGTAAATTGAATAAAATTTAATGACCTCATAGGGAATCGAACCCAAGGCCTTCCGGCTTGAAGCATAGTGCCTCAAACAAATAGGAACTTTTCTCTCTATGGCTCTACAGCCGTTTGGACCTTGGCCGCCGTCTCAGTTTCTTAATCCTATACAGTCAGTGGGACTCCTTGGACGGGGGATCAGCCCATCGTTGTACACACAGCACAAGACAAACAGAAGAAATGCACACAGACATGCATACCTCGAGTGGAATTCAAACCCATGACCGCAGTTTTCGAGAGGGCGAAGACGGTTCATGCCTTAGGCTGAGCAGCCACTGTCATCGGCCAACCAACCAGGACAGTCGGTTGAAATTCGAACCGAAGAACTTACGAATGCAGGTTAGAAGCGTTTCCGGTTGAGATGTTGCTCGGGTGATGGTCTCTCGAGATTCTTTACGTTCCGTCGTGAGGGCATAGCACAGATGTGTACATCTTCCAAGCCGCAGCTTGCGTGTGGCAGTGATTGCTGGCTGCAGAAATTACTTGACCGGAAACTGACGTAGAACCAACAGGACGTAGCGGGAAAGAACAAGGCGGGAATGACCCCGAAGACAGTTTACAGGGTCAGTTACCAGTGCCCATTTTACGGGTGGGAAATACCCGGAGGTGGAGGATAGAGATGATTCAGTCGGATTACAAAAATATATTATCTTACCACGTACCGTTCCATTGTGTGTTAAGTTCTGATCGGCTAGGTTGTGAGAATTCCTCTACGGGTACTGATTACAAAATAGACTCAGGCGATGGTCTCTCCATGCCAGACACTGCCGCACGCGCGCCCCGATGTGTACGCAGCACGGAGCTGAAGGGAGGTCGTTCTAAGGTAGGTCCAGTGTTTGTGTATTGCTCCTTTCGAAGACGATTTCTCTACTGCTTAGGGTACACAGCTTCAAATGTTTATATTTAAGGAAATGGGCAGAGAATTGAAGGAAGTGGTCGTGATACATTTTAAAGTGATATTTCGAAAGTAAACATGAAACACTCTTTCAGAAAAACATGTCCCATGGATAAGATTAAAATATAATATCCATAAAATATTAAGAATGAATGCCAACCACTATACCATGGCCCCCTCTCGGCGGGTTTTATTTCCTGGCTTGTTTAACGACGTGCATACATTATATAGTGTTGTATGGTTGTGGATTATGAACTGGGAAGGATATGAAAGGGGTGATAGTGGCATATTTGAAGGTACTATCCAAGAATATGTCCAGAGGGGCTGAGGAAAACAACAAAATTCACAAATAATGGGTCGCCGGTTTAAGATTCGAAACTTCCGAACACGACTCAGGAGAATTACACCGTAACATTTAATCAGTGGTTTTTAATGCAGAGGTTGAAATATTTTAAGACAAATTGCACAGAACGCTAAAGCCACCCGAAGAGGTAAGCTGATAGGATAATGCAGAACATTACATGGTGTGGAACTTGAAAAATCTGTTCGTCACCTAAGATTGTTACAGTGAATTAATCGAGGAGGAAGGAATGAAGGAAATGCATGAAACATACATTTCATGCAGAAAAAAAAAATACGTTTAGATGTATACAATGATCCGGTCTGTATAGTAGAAGTGAGCGTAATTACAACTAAAATATTAATACAGGATGATTCACTCGGATTAGGCCCGAACTTAATAATTACAAATAACGCAATAATGATCTGATAGACTCGAAAGTTGGAAATTCTGTATAATTTGCTAAGAGTAGCCTGCCCGGCTTATGCCATTTTTATTACAAAAATTGCTCTAATCGCTTCTGTCATGCTCCCTGCAAAAAAGAAAATACAAACGTGGAGCGTCGTGTCGGCCAGCGTCTCCAGGTGTAATGAAGTCATTTTCAACGTGTTCTCTAAACCAGTCATCTTTTACTGAGATCTGTTTTCTCTTGGCTCCATTTTCTTCGATAAATTACTGAGTTTTATATATATATATATATATATATATATTATAGTTGTTAGGGGCACGCGGTAGCATAGTTGGTCGAGGCACTATGCTACAAGCCTGAAGTTCGCAGGGTCAAGTCCCGATGAGATCAATGGATTTTTTTCAATTGACCCAACCCTTCCAGCCCCACTATGGCGCTGGGGTCGACTTAGTCTCTAACAGAAATGAGTACCAGGAATTAATTAAATAATTTTCCTGGGGAGTAAAGCGCGACCGGCGCGTAGGGCTGACAACCTTACCGCCATCTTTGAGCCGACTGTCTAGATAATGTGGGACCCTCACCGTCTCACAAACCTATGGGCCTTCATGGCCTGGTACAGGGATAGCTTTGCTTGTTATTTTATATAGTTGTTAATTCAATGCCTCCTCCAAGTGATTCACTCTCTCTAACGTAATGGTATTAGGAATCTTCACGCTCTTAGAAAGGGCAAAATAGTTATATTTTGTGGCCTTTTCCTTTTTACCACTTTCATATACATTGTCTATATATGTAGGCCTAATTTGAAAACAGGCAGTGTCATGTTTAATGAGTAGATTTGAGGCAGTCACGTATGTTTGAACACGGGTTCAATATTCGACAGAGATTTCTTCACTCCACGTTACACACAACAAAGGACTGTTCCAAAGTGCCTTAAAACTATTTGCGTTTAGTTCTAAGTCTCAGCTGTCTTATCAGCCGTGAATTTAATTATATTGAAGGGACCAAGAAATTTGAAGAATGTAGTCTTCTGGGATGTGATACCGTAAAGATTGGTAGCAAGGTATCAATGTTTCGGAAGAAGAATCTGCTGCCTTCAACTTAGAGTTTTTAACCTTGCACACGGCATTACGTCTCAAAAAACATCTCACATCAAGAAATTTGTTGACAAGGACGAGAACAAACTCTCATAGCATTATAAATTTAAGCCTCATTATTTAAAAAGAATTCGAAGCTACACACACAAAGCAGTTGATAAAACTCCATTAAGGAAAGGAAGGTAAAATTATCCGTGTAACAGCCCATAAGGTTGTGAGACATCGAGGCTCCCACATTTTCTATACAATCAGCTCACGGTTGGTGATGAGGTTGTCAGCCTTATGTGCAGGCCGCCCTTTACCCCTAGGAAGATTCCTGGTACTCATTTCTGTTAGATGCTAAGTCGACCCCAGGTCCATAGTGCGGATGGAAGGATTAGGACAATTGAAAAATCCAGTGACCTCATCGAAAATCGAACTCGCGACCTTGCGACTTGTAGCATAGTACTTCAACCAAATGATCTACTGCGTGCCCTCCGTTAAAGAAAACATGAAAGCAAATGATAAATTTTGGAATTTACGTTCTGGAATATTGTAATGTTAAATGAAGTTAAACAAATCTTCTCTAGTACATTTTTGCCCATGGTAACTTAAAAATTCCTACTGCGGAGAAACCAAGAAGACGCACTACTTCTTTCACTGATCTTCTCAGGCACCAAATAAATGCAGGCCAGGCGGACGGGTGCGTCTATACGAGATATCAGAGATTGAAATGGCCAATGAAAGATGCCGTCTTCTGGGATGTGGTGCCGTACAGATGTAGTACAGCAACCTGCACACGCTGGTTCCTCGCTCCCGGATTTTTCTATCCTGAAGATGGAGGCGATACGTTCCTCCGAACTGTCAATTTACACTAGATCTACACGGCGCCATATCCCAGAAGACGGCATTCTTCATAGTCACCGCCGTGAAAACATAAAATCTTACAAAAATCAATCTAAGCAGACTCTAGTAACCACTTTTGCTCTTCCTGATAATGAGGGTTTATTGTCTGAAAATATAAACCCAATAAAAGTCTTCTTCTTGAGCGGCACGAGAAACTAAGGCGGCCTAAGTCCTCCCATTTTGCGTGTTTCTGAATCTTATTTAAACACGTCTGGTAGGATTCCTTAGACGGGGGATCGGCCTGCTGCAAGGCTTCTGTGTACGCAGGGCAACACAAATCAGAAAACACCCACAGCCCGAGTGGGATTCCAAAGTATAATCTCAGTGTTGGAGCAGTTGAAGACAGTATATTCCTTAAGCCACGCGGCTTATGGGATCAGCAGAACAGTTTTGAGATTAATAAACCTGCACAACTGCCTACGGACTGAATGTCTGGTGTTCGACACCCAGGAGAGGCAGGCACCTTCTTTTCACCACCACTTCCAGATCAACACTGGAGTGCTCCCAGCCTGATATCCAATGTCCACATATCGTAACCGACACACACTAACATTTAGTAGAGAGGTTAAGGATGCGTTGGAACTTGACCTGCATGCCACCTATGTTCCATTTTAGTGTGAGGTGTAGACAAAAATGTTAGCGTATCCTTCTCAGCGTAGAAAGAGAGAATAATGAAACGACAATCAGAACCAGTGAAGTACCTCAATTTTAAATAAGTTGTAAAGAGTGCAGTTGTACGTAGAACTCCCGTTGTCATATGACCTAATATTAAATATACGGCGTTCAGGAATGGTTTCCGTTTTCAAGCGCAGCGGATAAGAAACGACCGTGCAGTTATTTTGCACCACATTTATACTTCGAAAGGATGTGGAGCAACTGCACAATGAAGAGCTTTATAGTCCTTACTACTTTTCTTGAGTGAAAAGGTAGATATGTCCCTGTAAATATCTAAGTAAGCACGTATAGAAGGCCGCGCCATAGCTCAAGCGGTTAGTCGCTGGCTTCCCACCGCGGCGGCACGGGTTCGATCCCGTGTCTGGTCAAGTGGGATTTGTGGTGCTGGGGAAGGTTTTCTCTGAGTACTTCGATTTTCCTTTCCAATCTTCATTCCACCAACTGCTCCACAATCACCCTCACCTATCACATGGGGCTGGTACAATACGCCTGAAGAGGCCGCAGTACAAGGGACTTAGTCCCACCCCACTAGCAATAAAAAAAAAAGCACGAACAGACCCACGTTTTCTTGATCTCGGCACTAGTTGGAGATGAGTGATCAGCTCCCAGGGAAAGGTCTCCAGTACCCACTGGCTAGGAGTTTGGGCAGACCCCAGAGCCCGTCTGGACAAAGTGGAGAAATGAAAATTCTTTCCCCCAATGGGACTCGAACTCCGATCGTCCAGCCAGTAGCTAGCTGCTATACCAACTGCGCTATCCCGTCTACTGCACACTGAGATAAGCCAGTCTTTGAAACATATCTGACGAATAACTTGTCCGAATAAACATGTGGTAAAGGCTGAAGTGTATGTTTTATAATCTAGCGTCCACTTACACGTACCCCGATCAATTCCTGACGTGGCAGTATGATACATAGAGAATTTCCGTTTTTCACTATAGGATAGTAAACAGAGACTTCGTTTTGTATCAGACATTATATTAGCACACGAGCACATAATACATGAATACATATTTATTTTTCTTTGCAGGAAATATTAACATAAAAGCAAGAATATCAAAATTTTGGATGCAACAGGTCCAATAACAAACGGACTTTGTTTCAATAATAAAGAATCAGAAGAAACACAACATTAATAATCTGTAGAAGTAAAGCTAAAATAAGGGCCGCGCCATAGCTCAAGCGGTTAGTCGCTGGCTTCCCACCGCGGCGGCACGGGTTCGATCCCGTGTCTGGTCAAGTGGGATTTGTGGTGGACAAAGTGGCGCTGGGGCAGGTTTTCTCCGAGTACTTCAGTTTCCCCTGCCAATCTTCATTCCACCAATTGCTCCACAATCACCCTTACCTATCATCTGGGGCCGGTACAATAGGCCAGAAGTGGCCGCAGTACAAGGGACTTAGTCCCACCCCATTAGCAATAAAAGCTAAAATAAAAGTAAAGCTGTCCCTGTAGCAAGCCGTGCCGTGCCGTGCTACCGCTTCATACGTAATAATCTGTAACCTATTAAATTTGGGGTTCTCACAGCG